TGGGCCCCTGGTATGACCTGCAGCTCCAGCGCAGAGCTGGGGGAGCAGTCTGCCTGAGAGGGGTCAGGGTGGGTGCTGTTTGGCCTGTGGTGCTGCACAGTGGGTCCCTCTGAGGCCCTTGGTACTGGGAAGGTCAGAGCCACGTGGATCCATGTACACACAGACCTGCTTCCTGGGATGGCCTGTAGGTCCCAAGAAGCAAATGAGTCTAGAACAGTGGCGGAGAAATCAGTCCTGAATTCAAATTCTTCTTCTGCCGCAGACAATGACAAGATAGTAGGATCAAGGGGGGCAGAGGACATTGCCAGAGCCCAGCGCAGGGAGAGGAGACAAAAACACGAGGCTTGGGGTTGCAGTGGGCAGCCTGCGATGGTGCTTCTTGTACATGAACTCACCTGATCCTCAGAGCCCCTTCAGGTGGCGGGCCTCCTGACAGCCACCTGACAGAGGGAGGTGACTTACTCCCCACAGGAAGCAGCAGCAGGGCCAGCTCCCGGGGTCTCTCCCCATACCCCGCCTTTCTGAGTGAGGCACCGAGAATCCAGACTGGGGGAGCAGGCAGTCATGAGATGCTCCCTGGAGCTGACTGGGGAGCCTCAGCATCCTCACCTCTAAATGGACACCTACTCTGTGGAGTCGGGATGGTCCATCAAGGTAAGCCCGTCTGTAAGAGGAAGGGGCCTGCCCTTGGCCACTGCTCAGCACAGGCTGTTCCCCATGGCGAGGCCCTCTCTCCCTCCAAGCTGGGCCTGGCCACTTGTCCCCTCCTTCTGCAGGGGCTCTCTCTGTAAGGAAGATCCAGGGATCCTTCTGATCTCAGGAGCACCTGATCAGGTCTCTGAGCTCTGGAGCTTCAGGAGCCTTGAGACCACACAGGCCCTCAGAGACCCCCACCCCACTGACAAGTGAGGGAGCTGAGAGCCAAAGTGGGGAAATGAGCCTCTGTCCCCAGGTTAAGGTCGTGACTCTGAGGCCCCCTGAGGCATCAGAATGCCTGCGTGCTCCTCCACCCTGGGCATCCCAGAGCACCCCCCCATACTGGGCACCCAGAGCCTCTTCGTGGTCCAGAAGGATGCTCACACCTTCCTCTGAAGATCTTCTATCTTTCTCTTTGTTATTTGAGGTTTTGAGTCTGTTCTACCAAAATATTCTCTTCTACCCTGATGGCCTTCTCTCTCCGATGTCCCAAAGCCTTTTGGAATTCAGATCCTGTGTCCTGTGGCACTTTCTTACCTGGCGTAGTTTCCCCACCCAGGGCACTTACCACTCCTGGTGGCCGCCTGCAGTCCAGTGACTCCCAGGCATGTGGGGAGAGGAAGAAGGCTCAGGGTCCTACCCCAGCCTCCATTAAGAGGCACATTTCACTGTTTAAAAAAGTGTTTTCACTTATCTTACTTACCGCTGCCATTGAAAAGCTGCATGAGGCTGGTGGTTGCTGCACCACTTTCTGGTAAAGGCAGGTAGTTGGTGGCTGCGGCCTCCTGGTGGGGATGGGTTGAGCCCCCCAGGGAGACACAGACGCTGAGCCAGAGCCATGGTCAGCCACTGACCATTGTGGCTGCAGGATCTGCAGGCTCTTATGTTTTGCAAGCCATGAAGCATATGGAGCCTGAAGTAAAACAAGTTTTACAAAGTCTGCCAAAATCTGCCTTCAGTGGTGGCTGTTAAAGAGATGGGTTTAAACCCAAAATGACAAAATGAGAAGCAGCATTAATACTAGATGTAAGCCCTACCACAAATAAAGACAAAATAAGAGATGTTTATCAATGGATTATGCTCTTAAATCACCCAAAGGAGGATCTCCTTATATAGCAGCCAAAATCAATGAAGCTACAGATCTGCTAGAAGGTCAAGCTAAAAAATGAAGTAAATATATGGTGAATTTTAAGTTCATAATAGTTTATGTATATGAGTACCAACTTTTTATAATAAAATGCCTCAGAGCCACAAACCAAAAAAAAAAAAAAAAAAAAAAAAAAAAAAGAAAGAAAAGAAAAGCTGTGTGACACTAGGTGAGTTCCTCAGCTTCTCTGGGCCTGGTTCCTCAACCGAAAAATAGGGATAATACAACTTGCCCCGAAGGACTTTACACGGAACATGTAACAGGTGAGAAATGCTGCTGGAAAGTGTGACATGCCTGGAAAACTGCGGCTGACAAAAGCTCTGTTCCAAAGACTAGCCCTGGATAGGTCTGCCCCTTGTGCCTTCTCATCCTGGGTGCAAGCGGACTGGCTGTGGCTGAAGACCTACTGTCACCAGCCCTGCAGCAGTGCCTGGCTGACAGCCTGCCTTGGTGGGTATGTGTTGATCATCGACTGACTGGTATGAGGATGAAATGTTTTTGCCTCCCTACCAGTGAAAAACTGGAAACCTTTCCAGTGCCCTTTCCCACTGCCACGAGGAGGGTCTGACTCAGTGGTTGGCAGTCAGCACATTCTCTGAAGTCACCAGCTGAGACCTTGGAGGCTCAGGGGTGGTGCTGGTCTTCCTACCCCCCAACTCAAAGTCTCAGCTTCCTGCAGAACCACCGGCTCAGAACAGAGACGACGAGCCACACAGCTAGAAAGCAATGCAGCCAGCAGCGTGGCCACCCCAACTATTCTGCCTGCGGGCGGGGTTAAGCTCAGTCTGGAATCCCGCAGTACTCTTTGCATATTTCCATTCACTGCACTTGGCACACGTTTGACTTCTTCCTGGGGACGGTAAGCACCTTGAAGCTGTACTTGCAGCCTCACTTTTGTGTGCCACAGTCTAACCCAGGACTGGGACACTGCTGCGGCACATGGGCAGTTCGCATGGTGCCCTCTCTCCTCCGCAAACAACGCTGAGCACAGGTCTCTTGGCACCTCTGTTGAGAGCTGGTACCAGAGAACAATGTCTCCCACCTCCAAATCCTCCCCATGTTTGCAGAGTTGCTGCTCATCCCTTCTACTGCTCCCGGGTGCTCTGTCCTTTCATCTAGAGCAAATTTCCTCCTATCCCAGCTGGGGCCCTGTCACCAACTCCTGCTTCCGGGCCAGCTCACTCCACCCTCATTATATACACTTACCTTAGTCCTGTTGCTGTTGAAAACATTTGGCTTCTTGTGACCTCAACTGAGACAGACTGCTGTCTCTCTGTGGTTAGCATATGTTGAAATTGTAAAGATCACCTGCCTAGAGGTGGAAACTTCTGGAAAACCAAAATCAGGCTGACATGGTTTTCTGTACTGCTGAGTATCGACCATGTGCTAACATCGTGCCAGGCGCTTTGGGAGCATTCCCTGGTTAACACTCAGCCATCCTGCGAGGTAAGGGCTGTAATCCCATTTTACTGGTGAGGAAACAGGCTCAGAGCTTACGTAACTTGCAGAAGGTCACACCACTCCAAGTGGTGGAAGTGAGTCTCACCCAGCTCAGCGCACGGGTAAAGGTCACACTCTTCCCCCGTATGCGGTCCTCTCTGTGTGACCAGTGAGTCACCCAGACAGGACAGGCGGTCAACAGTGATAACAGAGGAGAGCATTTCAAGTAGGGAAGCAGCGGCTGTGTCAGATGCTGCGGACAGTGCAGCAGGACGAGAACTGGGACCGAGAGCGGCAGGAACTTGGGCAAGAGCTGCTTCGGTGCGGCATGGAGGAAAGACGGATGAAGTGAGTTCAAGGGAGAACGGGAGGAGAGTAAGTGGTGATGGCGGGTGTAAACAGCTCTTTTCAGGAGTTCGGCTCTGAGTGGGGGCAGAAGGATGAGCTGGAGGGAGACGTGGAGTTGAGAAATGATCGTTTTTCCAGCTGGGAGACAGTTCCTCATGTCTGTATGCTGATGGGAGCGATCTAGCGGATGGGAAAGGTGGCTGGTTTCCAGTGCTCTGGCTTCTCGCTGCTGCTTCTCACACCTCGCGGCCAGCCCTCGGCCACTCCCACTGGCTCTACTTTTCACACAGACCCAGAGCCTGCCCTTCCCACCACCTTCCTGCACACAGCCTGCCCCAAGCCATCTGCATTTCACTCCTGGGTCCCTGCCATGGCCCTCTCTCCTTGTCTCTATTCTTGTCCCCATGGCTTGTTGTCCACATAATTGTTCACGGAGACTTTTAAAGTGTAGGTCAGAGGGCATTATTCCTCTGCTCAGAACCCTCCCAGGGTGCCTGTCTCGCTGAGTATAACCCCAGTCCTCATGATGGCCGACAAGGGTCCGAGATCTTCGCTGCTCTCCTTCCGCCTGCTCTGCCACATTGGCCTCCTCGCTTCTCCTCTCACCCCAGGACCCTGACATGCTACCTCGAGGGATTACACACACAAACACACACATACATATCTACTTATGTTTTTATTATCTGTCTCCCTACAGAGCATAAGCCCTATGAAGGTAGGAACTTGTTTTGTCCACTGTCACATTCCCAGCACCAGGCACCTGGCTGGTGCTCAATGAGTAAATACTGGTTGATTGAACAGATGAAAGCTCAGAGTGCAGATCCCTACACGCCCTGCCCTACAGAATCTCCAGCATAGCAAGGGCACTGGGCTTGGTACCAGGGGTGTGGCCAGAGGGGCTGGATGCCCCGTTCCACTCTCTATGCCTCCTGGAGGTGTGTCGTCCTGCACACGCAGACCCTGAGGTTCAGGCGGCAGAGCAGGAAGCATGTGGCTGACATGGGGCGATGTGCCAGAGCACTGCTGACCACTGCTGCCTGCCAGAAAAGGATTAATGATAATCCTGACCATTCACCCACAGCTTTACAGTTTACAAAGTGCTGTCACATCCAATATTGCATCTGGGCCACACAACTGCCCTAGAAGGGGGGCAGAGTGAGGACTATGACCCCCATTATACAGATGAAAACCCTGAGGTCCCTGAGGCTTAGTGTCTGGCCTGAGGCCACACAGGAAGTGGTGGAGCTGGGTTCTGAGCCAGGCCTTCTCCCGCTGCACCTTCCACCGCATACTGCCTGGAGTAATTTTTATCAGGTGAGACCTCTCGGGCAGAAAGGGCATATTTCCACTTTCTGAACAAACCACCAAGTAAAAAAACACAAATCATTTATTCTTTGGTCTACACAGACACTTAAATACTGTATTGCTGTCATGTGGCTACCTGTGCAGGCCCCCGGGACGACTCTGGGCCTGTGTCCTGAGCCTCAGCCGGCCTCAGGGGAGCGAGCCATCCTGCCATGTTCACTCCAAGAGCAGCAGCACCATGCAGGAGGCTGTGAGCAGGGTCCCCTCACTGGGTAGTGGATGTAAGTTCCCCACTGCTCGATGGCCCTGAGAGGCTGGCCAGTCCAGGGTGCAGGACAGAGTTCCTCCCCGTGGGTCTAATCACCCATCCATGTGCGACCTGGATGCTGTCATAGCTCGTCCTTGTGCCTTGACTCACTGCCCAAGAGAGACTCTTCTGCAGGTTGTGGGGGACCCTGCTGGGAGTCCAGGGGCTGCTCCTGGAGGAGATCCACCTCTTCTGGGCTGAAGAGCATCTTCACCAGGTCATCTGCCTGCACCCTGTCCTGCAAGAACAAACCCCTGCCTATTAAGAGGCCTCTGGACCAGGTACTCAGCATCTCTCAGCTACTGCTTCCTGGAGAACAAAGAAGTGCTTCTCTAATGGCCTCCGAGCTCATCTCCTTTCCAGTAGGTCCTGCTCTCTGGACTGAGACAGCTGAAGTGAGGCCCAAGGAAGGAATCAAGAATCCAGCATTGCGGGGCCAGCCCGGTGGCACACTGGATAGTGTGCCGCTTGGGAAGCGCGGCGGCGCTCCCGCCCGAGGGTTCGGATCCCACATACAGACCGGTCCCCGCTCACTGGCTGAGCGAGGCGCGGGAGCAACGCCGAGGGTTGCAGTCCCGTTGCCGGTCCCCGGTCCGGTACGGGGGCAACACTGAGGGTTGCGATCCGTTGCCGGACACGGAAAAAGACAAAAAGACAAAAAAAAAAAAAAAAAAAAAAAAAAAAAAAAAAAAAAGAATCCAGCATTGCTCCCCATCTCGGTCCTCCACCCTACCCGGAGCCCCATTTACAAGAAGAAGGCCCAGGAAGGCAGAGGCAACATGACCACTGTGACAGTGCTGGAGCTAGGAGTCTCAAGCCCAGAGCTCCCATCGTGTCTAAGCCACTGGCATCGGGATCTGGGGGGGGAGGAAACAGAGCGAGGGCCCTCCCAGGAACAGAGCAGGGCAGCAGCTCTCACCCGCTCACTGTGCCGAGGGTCCAGGGTGAACCACAGGGCGATGGCACAGCGCTGCCCCCTGGTGACGGCCTTCACTCCATGCGGGTTCTCAGTGCCTGAAGAGAATCCCACGGCCCGTCCGCACTGGGGCTGCACCTCTGCCTAAAGGGGGCAGAGAAGGGGGGATACACAGGACAAAGACCATAACCCACCCTCCAAAGAGGCATGGCTCATTAGGGTCCAAGGTTGAGGGCGGCTCTTCAGGTTGGCTTCACAAAGTCCAGTGCTAAAGAGAAAGGGTGACCAGGTAGAGTGACTGATGCTTGTATCTCAAAGTCCCTGAAGTGGAGAAGAGGCCACTGGCCACCAGGAAGCCCAGTTGGGCCATTCTGTCCACTGCACTTTGGGGACATTAGCTCCAGAAAACAGGGTTTTTGTATCCCAGGGATGTGGACAAGGGAGGACTCACCGTCACGGTCTTGGCGTCTAGTTCAGTGAAATAAAAGTTTCCTCCATCGAAGTCCCCATTTAGGTAAAGGATGGCACTGGGAAAGGCAGAGACATCTCGATGCAGCCCTTCTCCTCCACTCCCCAGAGCCTTCACCTCCATGTGCTCTCTACCAGCAGCTGGAGGGTGGCCTTTCTTTGTAGGAAGAAATCCTTCAGGAACCTTCTCTGAAACTAAACACAGCCCCCAATCTTCCCACACTCCACGCTCACCCCAGAGAATCCATTGTGCACTTCTCTGGGTGCTTGTGTACCAAGTCCACTTACACTTGTGGACTTGTGCTTGTCATACTATACCATAATGATTCCCTCTTTGTCTTTCTATCCTGAGGGTCTGAGGATAAAAGATTGGATTCTGGGAACAGCTGGCCCCAACCTGTCCTCTGTGTGTGTGTGTGTGTTGGGGGAGTGCAGGCAGAGTAGAGGGCACTGGGGGGCCTCAGAGGGAGAGCTGGCACCTGTAGTCCCGGAAGGTGTAGGCAGGAGGCTCCTTGATGCACACGAGGGTCTCGGCGTTCAGGATGCAGTTGTCCACATGGACTGGATGGCTACTGTCCTTCCTCTCAGCCTGTGCCTCTGGGGCCAAGGTAATGCATGTTAGTGCTGGGGCACCTCGGGAGCTGTTGCAGCTCTCTTCTTGGTGGTGGTGGTGGGCGATGCTTCCTAACATGAGTTTGGGTCTATGGAAATGGCCAATGAACTGGCGGAGGGGCTGTCTCTGGCTAAGCCATAAGCCTAGGGGCCAGGACAAGCCTGGAGGGAACCAGCCAAGATCCTGGGTGGAAAGGCACAATCCCGGTTTGTGGCTACACTACAATACAGGGAGGCCCAGGGAAGTGAAAACAAGGAGTTGGGAGGTGGGCAGGACGCAGGGTAGAGGATCGCAGGAGGTAAGGGAGGGATGGCATGAAGAGGAGCACAGAAGAGCTGGCCAGGAAGGTAAGGAGTGAGGCTTCCTAAGAGGCCCTGGGAGTGGGGGTGGTGGAGAAACCACACAGGGAGAGGGCGGTGAAAGAGGACAGGCATACTGTGCAGTGCCAGGCAGACCACGTCCAGGACACGGAACACACCTGCCCCCAGCACAAACCTTGGACATGCCCTGTATAGGCTGGAGGCACTACTGAGTCACGGCAGATGCCTCCTTCTCCATCCCCACATGTCCAGCCAGTCACCAGGGCCTGTCCCTCCACCTCCCACACCTACCCCGTGGCTTCCCTTCTCTCCTCCCATGGCCACTCCTGAGTTCAGGCCTCATCCACTCAGGTCACTTCTGACCAGCCTCCCTGCCTCTGGTCTGAAATCTCTAGGCACACAGCAGCAAACACTAATCTTTTAAAAACAAAGGCCTCACCAAGTCCTCCCGGCTCCCTCCGCCTATGCCCACACTCTTCCACCATGAGGCTCCGTGGCACATACAGTCACGTGTCTGACAGATTCCTCTGGCTGTGCCCAGATTTTGACAGAACTCTAAACATCCAGAGGGAGCACGAGGCCCTCTAATCCCCACCCCCATCAAAAGCACATTAGGGCTGGGGCCCTCTGAAGGCTGCAGTGACAGCAGCTGTGGACCCCCTGTGACCCCTGCAGCACTGGCCGTGCCTCATCCTCCTCAGGAAAGCAAAAGGCGGAATGTGGGAGAGGGAGCGGGAGGAATAACCCCAAATCTGCTCTAACTTGCAAATTACGTAGCTCTCTCACAAGTTTGGTATTTAACAATTAGTAACAGAGAGCGTGCAACATAGCTCATGATTGATCTAAAGGATAAAAAATAAACTCTTGAATGTAGTTCTCCATGATGTGGCAACTTTCTTAGTTTCCCCAACTACCAGGCTGCTCCATGCCCCCATTCCTTTGCACACATGGTTCTTTCTGGCTTGAATGTCTTCCTGCCACCCGTGTACTCCATAAACATATTCATCCTGCAAAACTGCTGTCACCTCCTCTGGGAAGCCTTCCTGACCCCTAGATAGGTGGCCCGTAACTTCCTCCTGCTACTGCTGTGGGTCGGGCTCGGCTGCCATATGCTGGTCCACGCTGGCTCCCCAGCTAGGATGCAAGGGCCCACGTGTGTCCTTCTCCACATCCTCAGCGCACTCGGGGAGGCTGCAGGGCCACGAGGCCTACCTTCAATTGCCGTGCGGCACACCAGGTGGGAGTAGGAGAAGTAGAGGGGGGTGTCCAGGCGGAAGTAGGACTCCATGACGCGCCGCACCTTCTCGGTCACATTGTAGTACAGGTGGGCGCTCTGCAGAGGGACCTTCCCTTCCTGCCCCAGCTGCCAAGGAGACTGGGGTCAGCTGCCCTCAGTGCCCCTCTGAGGGCTGCCAGAGACACTGAGGTGCAGACCCCACACCGTGTCCCCCCAACGAAGGCACAGCTTCTGCCTCCCACACTGACACCCCCGCCGAATGCTCTTTCCCTCTCCTTCCCACTTCTCTTCATGAACAACCTGCACGTCCTGCTGAGGGTTGCACCCCTCTGGGGTCAGCCATTCTTCAGAAAGCATTCTCATAGCTTTTGACATGAGTCTTGTCTTGCTCACCTCATTTTTATTACCCTTGGTCTAACAGCCAGGACTCAAGTTAACCACATTCACCATAACTCCCCTCGCTCCATGACAACTGGAACGTCGGCAGGCAGACGCTTTTTACCTCTCCCACCACCATCCTCAGATCCAATTTGAGCTTCCCCTTCTCCGCCCCCTCGGGCAGGCAGATTCCCTCCTTGTCCACATGCTAGAACGCTCACTATAGAGTTTACCTTAAGGGCTTTGAAGACAGTGACTCCGTAGAACTTTTCATTGGGGGTATGTGGGGAGGTTTGACCCCGGTAGCCATCTCCTGAAACTGCTGCCACCTGCATGGCCCAAAAAACAAGGTGAAGTTAGCCAGGGCTGCGGAGGGCTTGATAAGTCAGTGCGAGCAGCAAGGGACAGGCAAATGCTCAGCACCTATGGACCCTTAGGGAGAAGGCGCAGGCCCTGGGCTTCCCTTACGTTGGTCAGTCTCTGCAGCTCCCGACACTCATCGTTAGAGATTACGCCATCCATCACCACCCGCTGGGAACCATTCAAGTGTCTGGAGTTCATGGTGATGCTGATGCCTTCATACAGCAAGGGGCCACCTGCAAAGCAATGACAAGACTCCAGCAAAAGCTCTGTGACTCTCCATCGGATATTGCTTCCATGTAAGGAACAGAAATTCCAGTTGTTTCCTGTTCACTGGAGAAATCTCCCACTCAGTCATGTCCACAGGTAGGTGGTCCAGAGGACAGAACTTAGAGTTGAAACGTGAGATCCAAGTCCTCGTCCTAGCTCCATTACCAGACAGATGCTGGCTCCTGGGCCTTCACAAATTGTTGAGGAAACATCATAAACACATTCTTAAAACATGACCTCCAGAATCAGAAAGAACTGGATGTGACTCCTAGATCCTCCACTTATTGGCTGTGTAACGTCTGCAAGTTACTTAACCTCCCCGAGGTTAATTTTAATTAATTAAACTGTTCTCATCTATCAAACAGCACCTTCCTCATATGTTTGATGTTAAGAACAAATAAGGCAAGTTAAAAGCTTAGCATAATATCTGGCACACAGTAAATGCTCAAAAATGTTGGCTACCATTAAATTATCGTCGTCATCATCATCATTTATTTAAAACAAGAGTCTTACAATCTGCCCAATGCACCTCCTGGGTAGTTATGAGAATCAAGAGAAATAACAGTAAAAGCTCTCTAAAAACAAAGGAATGCTGGACAAATTCTTTTCACATGCTAATCTTGTTAAATTAGCCCCTGTTAATTTAAGCAACTACAGGGCAAAGGCCAACATTTCTCTTACCATTCTCATGGAGTCTCTCTGAGCTGGGGACACTCTAGAGACTCGATTTGACTCCATCTGTTTACTGAGGCCTGAGTGTGTGCAAGTGTGCTAGACAACGGCAGGGGTAACACCCGAAGACAGTATCTGTTCTTCAACCATTACACAAATAACCAGCACATGGCAGACCAGACATGCCCTAAGAATTGCAGCAAAAAGGAGGAGGGGATTCCAACAGGCTGAGAGATGAAGAAGGGCTTTGCATGGCATATCTGAGATGCCTTCATGGGCAGAGACGGTAGGAGGTGTGTCAGGAGGAGGGACAAGCATGAACAAAGACTTGTGGGCAGAGGGCGGGCTCAAGGAATAAAGAGCAGCCCCGCAGATGAAGAGAAGGTGTGAGCAGGAAGAGAGAATGGCAGTTAAAGGGGTAGGCAGGGAGGGTCAGCGTCCCAGTATTTGGAAGACTGGGCTAGCATCCGAGTGTGCAAAGGGGCAAGGACAGACTGGACGAGGAGAGGTGGATGCAGACAGGAGGCGAAGGGGCCAGAATCAGGCCTGAGGCAACGGAAAAAGGAGGCAGTTGGGGAGAGACCAGGAACAAAGCGCAGCCACAACTGGTAGGGCCTTCCAGGCGGACGGCAGGGCACAGGCAAGGGCGGAAGAGGAGCCAAAAGAGACCTGAAGGTCTGGAGTCTTGGTAACAAGTTGAATGGTGGAAGTTAAGAGGAAAGTTTAGGAGCAGGAAGACAAGGTGAGTGCTGTCCTATAAATACTTACTCAAGTGAACTAAATTAGTGTTACTGTGACACAGGAGTCATATTTCTTAGCCAAAGGCCAACTCTCAGTGCTCTTTCCAGGTGAAAGTCCTGTTGGTGAGCCAGGGACGCCGAGGCGAGGTTAGGCCCTCACACCCGCTGACTCAGATCACAACAGCTGCAGATGTACCCTGAGCTCCATCCTCTCACCTTCCCGGGTCAGCCTGCTCACATCCAGCGACTCCTTGGTCTTCTCTTCCACAAGGGTCTCAATCTCTTTCATGAGGTTTCCGATCTCCTGGGAGATGCGTACAGCTGTTTCCCGTTCTGACCTGTGAGCACAGCTGCTCTGAGGACTGCATTCTGAGGCCAGCCTGGACTCCCTCCCCACCTTCCCAGCCTGGACCTGCCCACCCCTTGCCAGGAGTTCACATCTGCCTGGGCTCAGGAAGCCTCAAGTGCTTCATCAGACTGATCCAATCATGCAGTTTCTTCAAGGTCCTCACTTCTGTTTCTCTTGCAATCTCTTGGGAATCACCTCTTCTGGAGTCCATGAATCCTAAAAGCAGGTCAGATAAAATTAAGAAGGTGGGGTGGCCTACTTTAATCTTCTGGGTCTCAATGTATAAAATAGAGCCTACAGGAGAGATCACTTTCTCACCTGCCTCCTTTCAGGAGACGGAATCTCTGAACCTAAGTCACTTCCAGCTGCAGAGTTCCCCTTTCCCCTTCCTCGCTGTCTCTGGTACCATGCTGGGCTCAGGCTGCACAGTGTACCCCTTACCCCCCTCTCAGTCCTGTCACTATCCCCCCTCCCCACTGGCTCCTGCACCCTGGCTCACCGGATCCACAAAGGGAATTCCAAAAACATCATAAGCGAAGAAAAGCAGTTCTTTCTCCAGCAGGCTTCGCTGGCGGTACTCCTCGGCACTCTGAGAAAACAAGGGGGAGCCATCCTCTAATTCTTGTGCTGCCCACCCCCGGCATGCCACACTGTGGATCCCTGTGCAACTGGAGCCACCTCTCCCCACCATCACTGTACACCTGTTCCCCAGTTCGGGACACAAGTCTCACTCTGTGCTCAAGGGTTCCTCTTGCTTGGCATAAGCAGTACCTCTGAGGGTGGTATAATCAGGCTTCCCCTGAGGGAAAAAGCCCCCTTCCTACACTACCCCAACCCCCACTAACCTCTGGGACAGAAAATCTGATGATTCTCGGGAGATGTGGAAATATTCTTCAAAAATGGAGAATCCCTTCCTGACTTCTGTAAGAGTCCGGTACTCTTGTGTTATTCATGTCATCTTTACAACTACCTCTGACGTTGATACTACTATCTTCATTTTACAGATGAGGAAACTGAGGTACAGCAAGGATGTGCAACTTGTTTAAGGCAACACTAGAGGAAACAGCAGAGCAGGGACCTACATCCAAGCCCAGGTCTTTCCCATCCTAAACCCATGTACTTTCTACTCTCCATCTGCCTCCCATCAGACCCTGGCCAGTGTCTCCCTCCCTGAAGATGGGCAGCGGCAGTGAGAGCAGCTGGGCTTGGCACTTGGGCCTTCCCACGTGTGCCTGCAGGCAAGGCTTACCCAGGACAGGGAAACTGAGTACCCTCCAGGGTCACATCTTTCCCTAAGCGCCCTTCTAGTCTCCAAGCAGCAGAAGGAATGAAGAGAAGAGGAAGACATTGTCAGTTGAAACAAAAATGGGGCAGTTCAAAGAGAAAAATGTTACAGGAGTCAATGAGTCCTGTGTCATCTACTATATTTACGCAAGAGGAAGATGGAAATGTTCTCTTAAGGAGTTTAAATTACTGGCTTCCTTCACCAAGTACTATTATCTCATCCAACTCTCTCCAACAACTCTACGAGGCTGCCAGGAAGCAATTCCCACTCCTGTCATTCATTCAACACTGATTTACTGAGGATCAGCTCTGAGGCAGGAACTGTCCAGCACTGGGACAGAGCAGAGAACAGACCCGGTCCCCACTGACCAACCACAGGCCATGAGCAAGTTACTTCATCTCTCAGAACCTAAACCTCCTCATCTATGAAGTGGGAAGAGTGCCCGCCTCACAGGGCGGTTGGAATGATTCAATGAGGTGATGACACAGACTACCCAGCACAGTGCTTGGTCTGGGCAGGGGCTCGACAGACGTTAGTTACCTTCTTTCCACAAGGAGAGTTCTACTTAAAAAGGCTAGATTGACCACACGGGTTTATTTCTCCTCTCCTCCCCTGAACTCACTAATATGAAAAAAGGAAAAAAAGGTATTAACCAAGCAAGACAGAGGCTGGAAGAGGCATCTTAAAGCCCGGTCACCATCTAGTGGCCAAAGAAGACAATTACAAGGTGACCAGTCTCCACGTGGGAGGGGATGGCAAGAGGATTTATTCTTTTCTCTTTATTTCTTTCACTTTTTATTTTAGAAAAGACTTATTTCTGTCTTTCTTTTTTTTAAAAAAAAGATGACCGGTAAGGGGATCTCAACCCTTGACTTGGTGTTGTCAGCACCACATTCTCCCAAGTGAGCCACGGGCTGGCCCTACAAGAGAATTAGTTCTACTGGAGACTCTGAGGATTCCACAGCTTGGCAGGAAGAATCTTGCTTTTTTTTCTTCAGAGTAATAGTCTTTGTGTTATATAGATTTTTCTCCTTGTTTTGGAGTGAGCTGGCAATAATGCTGAAGGATGGATGGTAGAGGACAGATGACGGCAGGAGGAAGGGATGGGGAGGAAAAAGGAGAGAGAAAACCGGTGAGAGGAGGGCTGGCCGGTTAGCTCAGTTGGTTAGAGCAGGGTCAAGGGTCGACACCAAAGTCAAGGGTTCCGATCCCCATTCTGGCCAGCTGCCAAACAAAAAAAGAAAATTCCTCCTCTGTTCTAGAACTGATTCTTTCCAAGGTTAAGGGTTTGGATGCCTCTACTGGCCAGCCAACAAAAAAAAGACAGAAAGAAAATTGGGTGTGAGAAAAAGAAAACATAGCATAAACTAAAAAATGATAGATCTCAGCTAAATGGTTTCAAGTGGGGGGTGCCAAAGACAGGAAGGAAAATGCCTGCTGTGTGGTTCTGCTTTTCTGTGCCAACTCAGACGTCTGGGCCCAGATAATGCTGATAAGGCTCCCTGTATTCCCCACGCACCCCGTGCCCCATGCTCTCTTCTCCAAGTGACAAGCAGAGTCAGCGCACGCACACCCGGCACAGGCATCCGGCCCACACCCCGACTCCTTTCCTTCTCCCTGCTCTCTTGCTCTCCTACTCTCTGGTCTGAGTTCAGGGCAGCTGCAGTAAGTGAGACAAGACTCTTACCTCGCGGGGGCCAATGGATCTGGCCTGTTCTTCTCCAAGCATAGCTGCGTAGTAGGCCAGATTCTGGCTCATCACCTCATCGTTGGGGAAGAAGAGGAGATAGGTCTTGGCACATTCAATAGCCTGTGTATAGTTTCCAACTGAGAAGCAGAAAAAAAGATAGCTGAGAGGAAAGGGTTTAATCCTGGGAACAAGGAACCATTTAGCACCCAGTCTCAGCAAAGCCTGAGGCAATGGTGACAGGGCAAGGTGGCACCCGCTACATAACATGATGGGCTGATTTTGGGGGAGGTTGGGAGTTATGGAATACACATACAATATGTAATTGATTTTAAGGTGTTCAATGTCCTCAAGGTTGCCTAACATTGAAACAAAAAAGCATTAGAACCCTCTGCATTCCCTTATCCTTAAAAAATCACAAATAATTCAAATACTCCCAATATCCTGCCTCAATACACCCAATCATTAAATCAATCTCAGAAATATTCCTCTGTCTTCTTTTTCCTATGAGTTTTCAGAACAGGGGGAATGATTACAACATCAGACGTCCTCTTTAGCAGAACAGTCCCTGTTCACATGTGTTCGTCTCCTCAACTCAACTATGAACGTTGCATGCTCTTGAATACGCTGCAATGCTTAGCGCACAGCAGGAGCTCAGTAAAGGCCTGCGGACTCATTGGTTGTGGATACAGATCGCCCTCCCAAGAGCATCGGTGCTATGCCAGGGAGAAGGACTGGAAAACATGCTGTGAGCTGGTTTAAACAGTAGCACACCCTTACTTTTGCTATTACTTTTAATTTTTATTCAAAATTAGATTACACATGTTATAGAAGGGACAAGAAAGAGAGGCCCTAGAGTCTCCCTCTCCCAGCTTTTTGGGCCAGTGGTTTCTGACGAACTACCGAGGGACCGCCTGGGATGGTGCCTCCCACTGCCACAGAGAAGCCAAACGTGTAGAAGAGGTATGGTGGCTGCAATCCCTGCTCACCTTGCTTTTAGTGTCTCAGTTAAGGCAGCAGAGAAAGAGGAAAGAAAGTAGGTCTTACTGTTATAGTAGGCAAACTGCAGATAATTATAATGTGACGGGAGGAAGTCTTCAAAGGGCTTTTCTCGACTTGGGTGGGAAGCGAGTTCGGTGACACAGCTCTGCTTACAGCTGAGGACCTGGATGTAATGATCTGAAAGGAATCAAAGCAGGGATGTAATTATGAGGCCAATCTTCTTTCTGGTTAATATGAACAAATCCAAATGGAAGCAATTTTCAGTCAGATTCCCAGATTTAAGAAGTTTGGGAATGAGGCAGGAGACGCTGTGTCTGATTTATCAGCACATGGACCTCCCAGCCCCGGGAGGCCCGGCCCAGGGCTAGGCTCCGCACTGCGCACCTGTGATGGCCTGGAAGAGGTCAGCCTTGTACTCGAGGTAGTTGTAGCCATCGTAGTCATAGGGCCCTTCGCAGAGGGCACGGCACTCCTCATTGGCCACATAGTACTCTTGCAGCGCCGCCTCTAGGTGGGGCACGGCTTCCTGCGGCTGTTCCTCTGAGTAGAGTCGCACTCCCAGCCGAAATTCCTGCTACTGGGAGGAAGGGGTACTCAAAGGCAGGCCACAAAGGAACCCTCTCCTTGCCCTCGGCCACCTTCTCATGGATGGAAAGGGGTGACCTGAGTGGCTGCTACTGAATGAAGGCCTTTTGTAAATGGTCTATACCTGTTCCTTTAGAAGTTTACAAACATTTAACACTTAATCTGGATAAAAGATATGTGGGAGTTCATTGTAATTTCCTTGTGCTTTTCTGGAGGGCTAAAAGTTTTCAGATAAATACAATTTGCTTTTAAAAGTCATACTGAAATTGTTTCTAATATTTCTTTTTCTAAACTATTAAAATGTAAGAGAACATAAGCTCCTTATAGAGATGCTATATCATCACAGTCAATATCTCTTATGGAACAGACTTTTCCTGCTAGACAAGCAGTATAAGAACATTGAGGAATACTGCACCACTTATTGTAGTGGTGACAGTAAGTGAAAACCTTATTGTAGTGAAAAGAAATATAAGTAGTAAATTAATATAAGATGGGTTATCATGCAGCCATTAAATATTGTGTTTTCAGGGCTGACCGGTTGGCTCAGTTGGTTAGAAAATGGTGCTGATAACACCAAGGTCAGGGGCTCAATCCCTGTACATGCAAGCTGCCACAAAAAAAAAAAAAAAATTGTTCCTTTTCAAAGAAAATTTGAAGAATGATGAAAAACACATACACAATGTGACAGACACTGAATTAGGTTAAAAATTTAGATATGGAAGACTTAAAAAATATGGCAAAATAACTACTGGTTTTCTTAAGATGGCAGTATTACAAATTATTAGTTACTGTTTTATACTTATCTACGTTTTTCTAATGTTGTACAATTAACATTTATTACTTCTGTAGTCTGAAAACAATCCTAGTAAATGATACTTTTGAGGGAAAGAGAGAAAGGGATTCAGTTTTCTTCACCATATGGGGTTTGGCCTCAAGATCCTTGAAGTCGGCCTCCTTCACTCCAGACATGGTTTGGTAGTAGTCTAGGTTCTGCCGCATCTCCATGTGCTCAGGATTGCCCACGAAGAAGGTGTGTGCTGCTGCTACGGCTTTCTCCAACTTGTTTATCTAAGGATGAAGCACAGGAATGTAATTCTCACATTCAGACTCTGAAAGTTTGTGTCCAGATGTGCAGTCCATGGGAAACAGGAAATCCCGGCCTCCCTGAACCTTTCAGAGCCTTTCATTGAGTGTGTCCAGTGTTGGCCACCCCCGTTGGCCACCCCCAGAAAACAAGCCTATTGCAGGAACTACATACCCGAGGTTAGGAGCGCAGTGCCTCGGGCAGATTCGTAGCTATCCTAAATCAGGCGTAGGGGTTCCCCTTAAAACAAAGGTCATATTGTAGGGGGAGTGTTATGGAAGACTACCTGCCTAAGTACTACATTCTCAAGATTCAGACATAGTGATTGAGCTGAAGAAAGTCTAACGCTTCAAGGATTTAGGGTAGGGAAGAAAAAGCAGTTAATAATTAGACTGTGCCTAAGAATTTCCCTAGAAAATACTTTTCTGGGGGGCATGAAATAAAATCAAGTGTTTCCAATACATTCAGGGAAAAGGTGGATGACTGAAAAATCCTAAGCTCCTTTACAAAATACAGACGTGGTATCTTCATGCCCAGGGCTCATGAGTTTCAAACAAATAGTTATAAAGAAATCTGAGTGGAAACAATGTGCTACACTATTTTACAATAATGCCCATAGCAATGGACTACAGCATATTAGAGTAACACAGGTTCACATATAAAACCCAAAATAAATCACTGATGATCTAGTGATTAACTACGTGGGCTTTGGTGTCACACAGACTGGTGACAAATCTAGGTTTAATTATTCACTGGCTAATTATTCACTTGCTGGGCTTTAGACAAGTTACTTAAAAGGTTACTCTTTAAACTCAGTTCCCTAATCTGTCATCTGGAGATAGCACTCACTACCTACCTCAAGGGATTGTTGGGAGGGTTAAATGAGATGATACACATGCAGTTTCTAACACATGGTGCTGGGCACATTTAGGTGCTGAATAAATGCTAGCTGGTATTAATGCACTAAGAAAAAAATTTTCTTTTTTTGTCTTTTTCGTGACCGGTAAGGGGATCGCAACCCTTGGTGTGGTGTTGCCCACACCACGCTCAGCCAGTGAGCACACCGGCCATTCCCACATAGGATCCGAACCCGCGGCAGGAGCGTCGCTGCGCCCCCAGTGCCGCACTCTCCCGAGCGCGCCAGGGGCTCGGCCCAGAAAAAATTTTTTTATTAGCATTATTACTAGTAAATGCACACAAAGGAGTCAGTTAGGGGACCCAAGGTAAATAATTCCCCATCTCTGTACCTCAGTTTGTTTAACTGTAATATTAGAAATTCTCTCAGGTCTGCCCCTTTTATGGCTGTCTTTCTCTCCCACGTCTTTCAGTACTGCTCCTGCCTTTCTTTCTTCTTCCATCTCCTCACTCCCCTCCCCACCCCCAGCCTTCTTTATTCTCTAAGCACTGAGGCACCTGACGTCCTTCTCGCCTGTGGATAAATGCACATGGCTCCGAAGCCTCATAATTGTTTGCCCTGCCACCATGTTCTCCTTCTTCTAAGGCTTATTCTGCATGGTTTCCAGAATCACCATTCTAAAACCCATTTCTGGTGATGGTTCCTTGAAGCCTGCAGATTTCTCTTTTGAATCTGGCCTCACTTACCTTTCCAGTCTCCTTTCCTGCTGCTCCCCAGGCACATCCGGACACCCCAAGCACAACAATTGACTTTTTCCTGAATACATCATGCTTTGGTTCTACTTTTCCTTCTCTCTGGAATGGCCATCCTTCCTCTATCCCTAGCAATATTTAGAACAGGCTTCAATGCCACCTCTTCTTTCAAGATTCTCTAATTTCTCTGAGACAAAGCTAGACTCTCCCTCCTTTGTGCTCCCACCCCCCTATGTACATACCCTTTAAGTAGTCCTTTCTACAGTGATTCTTAACAGCAAAGAAAGACAAGACAAAGAAACAGTCAAGCATTTTCATTACCTGTACAACAACTGGGATGTAGTAAGTATTCAATAAATGTATGTCAAAGAATTTTAGAAAGTGCTGTTAAGCGAAATGCCAAAGACACAGCCCAGTTATCTTGGTTTCAAGTCCAGTACTTCCGAGTAACTAGGAAGAATGGAGGGGAACTGTGTAAGCAGAATGCATGTGGAGAGGTGGAAATCTGAGGTCCCCAAGAGTTTCTAAGTCTCTCTTTAGGTTGAAATTGTAGGTTTGTTAAACTATAGATAAAGTTGATATGCAGCACAGCTCCCCTCTCTGCCCCAATAAAATGGGACTAAGAGTAGCATCTACCTCACAGGATATTGTTAGGATCAGGGCAAATGAGTTAACAAATGCAAAGTGTTTAAAACAGTGTGCCTGGAAGTCCCTGCTGGCTATCATCATCATCTCACAAGCTCGGAGAGTTACAAGCCCATCTGTACACTTGGGCTTAGGGCACTCTGGCATTCTTACAACTACTCATTTTCTTTGGAAATGTAACAGACTAGCCAGAGGGTCCTCTACAGGGAGGGACCAGGCAGCCCCTGCTGGCGACGTGGCAATCCTACGTCCTGAAAGAGAGCTGCTGGACTCGGCAGCAGGAAAAGCATCACTGGAAAGCGAACCGGAAGGAAGATAATGTAGAAAGCTCCCAGCTTCTCACTCAGACACTTACAATGAAATCGGTTTGGGAGACCCAACCTGCTGCTTTAATTCCCTCTAGGAGGCCTCCAGGGGAACAAAAGGCCAAGTTTTGCTTGGCCTGTGCCCTAACACCAACTTGGACCTTTGGGGTTAGCATCTGCCCACGCGAGGCGGGCGAGGCAGGTCCCCTGGCAGGGCCCCTGCTCTTCCTGGGTCCGAGGAGAGCTCTCCAGCCAGGAGGGCACCTTCTCCCTCTGTAGACACTTCCCTGGACCCCGAAGTTCCCCAGGTCTCCTGGATCCACTCCTCTCCCCAGAAGAACCCCGGTCACCCGGCTCCGGGCAGGTCTGCACCTTGAAGTAGGCGACCTGCAGATAGTTGTAGGGGCTCCGCTTGCGGAACTCCAGCTCCAGCTCCTCGCTGAGCGAGTGGGCGGCTGGCGGCCCGAGGCAGCGGCGCAGGCAGGCGGCGCGGCGCAACAGGCCCCCGAAGAAGTGCAGGTCGTGCAGGGCGGCGGCGCCCGAGGCCTGGGCCAGGCTCGCGGGCGAGTCCAGGTCCAGGTCCCACGGGAAGTCGGCGGCACAGCGGGTCCGGCAGCGCAGGCGGAGGGCGCGCAGGGCGGCCCGCGAGCGCAGCGCCCGCTCCATGTTCAGGACCACCCCGGCCCAGTCCCCGCGCGCGTAGGCCGCGGTCCCCTCGGCGAAGAGCAGATCAGGCGCCAAGTCCCGTCCCGCCTCTGACTCGACCTCGGCCCGGGAGGCGGCGGCGGCGACAGCCAGCAGTGTGGTTAGCAGCCTCATCGCGCACGCCGCCATCGCCTCCTCCTCGCACCTAACGGGACCGCCGGCCACTAGCCACGGAGAGCAGAGTCCCACCCCCAGATAATCCCCGCCCCCGAGCGAGGCCCCGCCTCCCAAGCCGGATGGCGCATGCCCAGAAGGCTTGCACCGCCTCTTTTGCTGTCAACCAACCCGGACCCCGCCCTTTAGCGGAACCCTGTGCGTCAGCCGGAGCCCCGCCTTCGAGCTCAGGCCGAGCTCTGTCGCTCTGACGCCCAATGGCCAAAGAATACGGAAGCTCCGCCCACGAGCCATTACGCGCATGCTCTGATTCGCACAGCGCAGGTAGAGGGAGTGAGGTGCTGTCATGGAGGGCGCTGCAGCACCGGGGCAGACGGAGGGAGTCACTGAAAGTCAAGGAGTGCAGTTGGCGGCTGGTCAGGGAGGTACGCGGGGCGGGAGTCATCGGGGGAAAGAAGCCCCCGCGGGGCAGGTGGTTTCCGGGGCTTCGCGGGAGGCCGAGGGCGGGAGCTCACGGCCTGTGTTCCCGGGTATGTGTCGCAGGAGGCCTGGTGGAGCTCACCCCGACCCCCGGCGGCCTGGCCTTGGTGAGCCCTTACCACACCCACCGGGCTGGGGACCCCTTAGACCTCGTGGCGCTCGCAGAGCAGGTGCAGAAGGTGAGGAGGTGCGGCTGGGGAAGTGCAGAACCAAGTTTGTTTACGTTTTGCCCTGCGTCTTTTGGCTCAGGGCCTCACAGCCACTTAATGTGGGGTAGCGTTTGTTCTTGTCTCCATTATACAGTCGAAGATAACTGATTGTCATTGCGAGTCGGTGGCCTGACTCGAACTCTGATCTTCTGAGACCAAAGTCTTCCTCAGGTGCAACTTGAGTTTGCATAATCTTCCTTCGTGGGAAAGTTTGAACAGCACTTTCAGTAGTCATTTCATTTGCATCTTAGGACAGTCCTGTGAGGTAGGCAGTACAGAAGTTATTCTTCCCATTTGACACATGAAGAAAGGTGTCCAGGGATGTTTCAAAATCACTCTAACCCAAATTCTTCAGGAATGCATAGTTCACTTATTTTAAGCTGCTTTCCAGAACATCTTTATCTGTTACCTGAGAGCATTTAACTAAACATCGTCTAGGAGGGCAAGGACTCCTCATTCACTGGACACAGTATTCCTAAGCCCAGGGCTTAGATATTGATGTCAAAATAAGTAAAATAAGGGGGAAATGCAAAACAACAGAAAAAGCACTGGAAGTTTGGATATATTAGTCTTAATCCCATTTTTCATTTTAACTTGCATTGAGACTTCAGTCAGATTTTCTCTAGACCTCAGCTTCTTTATCTGTAAAATGAAGGGTTTGAAGTAGGAGAGGTCCAAGATCCAATGCTCTGACATTATTCCGTGAAATACCAAGTTCCTTCTCATCTCTTACCAAGACTTCCAGTTGTAGAACCCTCTTCAGTATGCACAGATATAGGGTCCTGCCGCTTTCAAGCTTATGATATCCTCTTATCCTTGTATACACTATCAGATTTGGCCTTGATTGTGTTCAAAAGACTTTGTCTTGCTCAAAAGTGTTTAATAATTAATGTGCTGGAATTCCCTCACATAAACATCTTTTAAATTTTTTTTAAATTTTATTTTTGGCAGCTGGGCAGAACACCTCTATTTTACTGTGTGTGTGTGTTTGTGTTTTTTTTTTTTTTTTTTTTTTTTTTTAAATTAAGAAAAATTCAGATACCCAGGAGAGCTCCTTTAATTCAAACTTTGTGCCTTCTCTTTTTTGGAAAGGTAGGGAGCAAAGTACAACTTCTGTGGATTAGGGGAATATCATGTTTCTGTTTAATCAGATAACTCTTATTGGAGAGAGGCTGCCAGGGACAAAATCTTGGGCAAACAACATTTTCATGTGTTACTGAGTGACATGTTTATTACAATGGCCTGAACCAAAGGAAGAAGGAACACAGTTTTTGTCTTTCATCCTGTAATTTAGTGAAATATAAAGGATGCATTATTGTGCTGCCTCCAATATAGTCAGTCTTTGAGAAGCTGAAGAAAAAAACACTAGAGGCAAACAAATCAATTCAAGCATATTTACTGTCTGTACTGAAAGGTACTTTCTAGCAGGACTGACTTCTGACACCCCACTTAGGTATTCGTGTGTGTTCAGAAAGCTTGGGAGGCCTGCTATTAAGGCGTAGATTTTGGAATCAGATTGATCTGTGTTCACATCCTTCAACTGCCATGTATTAACTGTGAGACCTTGGATGGATTGCCTCACCTCTCTGAGTCTTAATTCCTGAAAGGAGAAAGTGATGTTATCTCCAGTTTCATAAAGGTGTTGTGAGAATTAAATGCAGTAATAAATGTAAAGGACCTTAGAGTGGTTGGGGCCTTAGTAATTGTCGGTATCCTTCCCTTTGTTTCTGTTTTAATTAGGCTCTTTTGTTTACAAGGAGCAGATTTGACTGCTACCACCTTCAGAAAAAGGAGATTAATTGTAAGGCCACTCTTAACCTGGAACTGCCTTCTCTCTAGATGACCACCTACTCTCTCAGCCATATGGCTCCTCTGCCCTTGGAACAAAATGCAAATTCTTTTACCATGGGCTACAACAACCTGCATGATCTAGTTCCTGCCCTGATTTTTTTAACATTGCGTACATTTCCCCTCACTAACTACTCTTCAGCTGCACTGCCCCAGAAATGCTGGGGAGCTTTTTCCTCGAGCTTTTTGCATGGCTGCCCCTTTTCTTTTATTTAGAATCCAGTCAAATGTCACATCCTCAGTGAGGCCTTCTTGTCAGAAGAAGGTCGTACCTTATCCCATCCAAATGTTAGTATTAGTAGTCGAATTTGAATACCTCTAGTCTACACATACATTCCAATTCCTGCATTCCTCATCATCCCTTGTTATTAAACCAGTTACTTCATGTGTGTGTTATCTTTGATCTACTTCCACCACTTCATTGTGGTTATTTCTTTCATTACAGTGCACCATTATTCCAAGTATATATAATATTAGCTTTAATTATCTTTGTGTTTTGGTGTCTGTATTACTTGCCAGAGTTGTGTTGTAAAATATGGTAGCCACTAGCCACATATGGCTGTTGAACTCTTGGATAGTGTGGTCAGTGTGACTGAGAAACTGAATTTTAAATTTAATTTAATTTTAATTAATCTTAATTTAAAAACTTGATAATTGCATACAGACCGGTTCCCGCTCACTGGCTGAGCGAGGCGCGGGAGCAACACCGAGGGTTGCAATCCCATTGCCGGTCCCCGGTCCGGTACGGGGGCAACACTGAGGGTTGGGATCCATTGCCGGACACGGAAAAAAAACAAAAAAAAAAAAAAAAAAAACAACTTGATAATTGATTCAGTTATTGGAACTTAAGTATATTTGGAACAATTTGAGTATGGAATCAACTTTTTTAACTATAAATTTTATGAAGTCTAAATAGAGATCAAATATTTCCGATGAAAATTTAGCATCCAAATTGAAATGTGCTGTGAGTATAAAATATACACTGCATTTTGAATATTTAATATGAAATGTAAAATATCTCACTAATTTTTTAAAAAATACTGATTACATGTTGAAATGAAAATGTTTTTGATATACTGGGTTAAATAAAATATATTATTAGAATTAATTTTACCTATTTGTTTTTACATGTTTGCCAGTGCATCTAGTGCCTAGCATGGTGTCTGATATAGAGTAGTTACTTAATATATATTCGTGGAACAGATAAATGATTGACTCAGTTTACTTTCCTCATTTTTGTTCACTCATAACACTGACTTACACCTGACTTTTACATTAAGATTTCCTCAACTAACCAGCAAATTGTCTTAATATTTTTTAGTTCAAGTTTAATCTCCTAATTTCTTTTCCTTAATTGTGTACTACTGGAAGTTAATCAGCTTTTCTTGAAAGTAAGCTGGAAATTTTTGAAAGATTTCTGATGCCTGAGTGATAATCCTTCTCAGTACATGAATTGATCACAGTAGTCTTTCCTAGCTTTGAGAATTATTTGATCTATTTAAGCAATTTCCATTGCCTTCAGTTGTATTTCCTGGCACATGATAGGAAATATGTATATCATCACTTTGTTTCAGGTCTACATTTAAATGCAATCTTTTAAAATACATTTTTAAAGTAATCATTAGATGTGCAAATATAAGTTAAAATTTAAGTAGGTGTGATGTAAATAGTCCAACTGAGCTAATAGTCAGATTAACAGATACTTTCTTTACAATATATAGCTAGATTCCTACATTAGCAGGTGATAAGAGCCACATCACAAGTGTCTTGATTTTCATTGTAAGACTCATCCCTGATTTCAGAAATGTTAGAACATGAGAAAATAAATGGGAGACCTGAGAAAAGCATGGACTTAGTCAGGTAAAGGGCAAGGAGGAAAATGTACTAGTTGAAATAGAGGACATGTTTGGTAGCAAGAAAGAGCAGGGCATGTTGGACGACCAAAGAAGTTCAGCGTGACTAGAGTTCAGAGTGGAAAGGGTGGAAAGGCATGGGAAACAGAAAAGAAGGAGCACTTAATTGTGTGGTGTGGGGTCTTGTCAGGGTGGGCTTCTCCTAAGCAGTGTTATTTAAGCCGGACCTTGAGATGAGTGGGAGTTCATGGGGCGATAGTGAGAATGGGAAGAATATTTTAGGCATAAACAAAGATGTTGACATAACTCTTCACATTGGAATCTAAATAAAAACACCAAAGAAGTCTTATCCTTTTTCTACACATGGTTTGGTTTTCTCTCACCTGTAGGCTGATGAATTCATCCGAGCAAATGCCATCAACAAGCTGACGGTCGTAGCTGAACAAATCCAACATTTGCAAGAACAAGCCAGGAAGGTAAGGAGTGACTTTTAGACAGAATTTTATTTTCTTCATTTAGTTCACAGGATTGGCTGAACTTACTTATAATCATTGTAACTTATTTGTCTTCATTATCTCCTAAAACGTAGAGGTGTTGAGTAAAATAGAAGGAATAAGCCTAAGAAATTAAGTATAAGTTTTTTTACTGGGAGCAAGTTCAGTGAGGTAAAGCATGAAGGGGAAAAAAATGTTTTTGTTTATAAAAGAAATACACTTACCAACAAAAAATAGGAAAGAAAGTTAAAAAGCACCCAAAGCCAGTAATGCTCAACATTTTGAAGTATAATTCTTCTAAAGGCATTTTTCCAGTATAGCAACACTGTCTAATTTTTGTTTCTTCAGAATCATCTGGATCACAGTAGTGATTGATTACTATGGGGGAGTGAGATCCTAAGCATAGAGAAGTTTCCAAATTTTAATTGGGATGATCACCAAATATGAGTGCTTGTTACTCCTGATACCTAGTTTGTTACATCTCTGTGGTTCATAGGTACTGGAAGATGCTCGCAGAGATGCTGACTTGCACCATGTAGCTTGTAATATGGTGAAAAAACCTGGTAACATTTACTACCTTTATAAACGGGAGAATGGTCAGCAATATTTTTCCATTATTTCTCCAAAGGTAAGAATATTTATTCTTTGCCCAAAAATCTACTCTAGACTTTGAGAAACTTGGCATGTGTGTGAAAATGTAGGCATGTGGATTGGTAAATGGTTTTCTATATGATTAGGGGTGGTGTGAGCACAGACCTGACTAAAGAATATATTTGTGCTTAAATTATTTTACTCATTATTTCTGTTATGGGAGGGATCTGAAGTGTAATGTAACTGCTTTCCAAGGATGGTTCTGACTAGTGTGAAGTGAAAAGCCAAAAAAATTTGTGGCATAAGGAGGAAATGAGCTTAGTTTGTTTATATTGTACAGTGATCAGAACTGACTCCTTTGCCTTCTCTAGGAATGGGGGGCAAGTTGTCCACATGACTTCCTTGGTGCCTACAAGCTACAGCATGACTTGTCTTGGACTCCATATGAGGACATTGAGAAGCAAGATGCTAAAATCAGCATAATGGACAAGTTACTAAGCCAGCCAATGGCCCTGCCTTCATGCACTGAACCCAACTTCCAGGGACTGAGTCACTGAGAGTGGACCCTGACAAAGAGCTCTCATGACAAGGACCTGACTGCCACCTCCTTGTTGCCCCCATTCTTTGCCTTGATGGGAGGTATCATGAGAATTGAAGGCATGTAGGTGAATCGTGAACTTTTTGGAAGGAGACTCTGTGTGAACATAAATGCTTTTGTTGTTATTACTTTTAGTTGGGATGGGGATGGATAATGACACTCTTTTGGGATCCTCTCTGGGCCACAGATACCCAACCAGTCAATTTCAGAGTATTGACCATTGTACTTCCCTCCTTCATCTCCATCTATTCTTCCCTTAAGTCAAAGCATTAGAGAAAGAAGAGTTTCTTCTTCCCACAAAAATGCTGGTAGGTCATTTTTCAGAGAGAACTGTTTTCAGTCTTTTTGTAGCTGGAAGATTTTAAGATTGGGATTGAGGCTGATTCACAGTTGGTGCAACTTCAGCTTCCAACTCATCTGGGAATAAGAATGTTGGGTGAGGGAGGATGATAAACTTGGTTTGGCTAGACTAGAAAGTGTATGATTCTCGAGTTTCTGTACTGTTGATGAGGTTTGGCATGCCCTTTCTGCTCTTTCTGCCTAGCTAGAGCAACTAGAGAATCTGAGGCAGCAGCACAGGCCAGGTTTGGGGAGGATCAACCTCTAAACTCACAGAATTTTAGACTTGGAAGAGATGTTGGAGGCTCCCACTAACCATCACATGAATCCACTCCATAGCTTCCCCAAGGAGATCCCAAACTTAGCCACCTGCAGCAGAAGAAACCCATTTAAGTGGCAAATTAAAAATATTGTGGAAGAGAGAATAGGGCAGTAAAAGTGAGAAACAAGAAAAACAGCCAACTTACGAGTTAACTGAGATTGAAATTCATTTTGACCAGAATTATTCAAGATTTTAACAGGAACTTATTGGCTAAATTGCTCTAGTTCTGATTCTGACTGGGATTTTGTAGGACTCTACCTTATTTCCTGTTTGTTTAGCACAGTTAACTAAATTTATAGCTGTATTGTTAGGGCTAGGGCTCACAGACCCCTCAAGCCCATTGTACAAACTGGGTCCCAAACCCTTCACATGCAGGTCCGTGAGCTAGGTAATAGGAAAAGATCCTGCGAGCTGTGGGTAAAAAATTAATAGTCTTTATTCAGAGCTAGGAGAAGCCGCCCTAAGTGACCTCCCAGAGCATCCCGAGAAGCGCCGTGTATCAGAGCTGTTAGTCCTTTACACTTAGGTCCATAACCCAGGACACCTGGGTGCCCACACTCAATTACATTAGATAGTAACCAAGGAACACCTGGGTGCATGTGGATTTTTACAGCAAATGCTTGGCAAGATTCTGAACATTTGAGGGGCCCTGACCATTTTCCTGTATTTTCCCAAGAATGGCATATCCAACATGACTGTACTTCCTTCAGTGTCATATTATCTATCACAATATGCTGTAAAAGGAATCAGAGGTGTGTCCTTGAACCCACAATTGCCCAAGTTCCTCTTCAGGAATGCGTGTTCCTAATGCTGATCTGCTGGTAGTACCCTAACCCCGTCTTGGTGTTCATGGCCTTTCCTTGTAAGTAGTGCTCCTTGTGAGCTGTAAATGGTCCATCTAAGGCTTAGCACAGGATGGAGCTAGAACATAACAAGGTCACACAGGTGATACTTGGTCACTCAGTTCACATGAGGATGTTTTGTGGAATCAGCTGCAAAAGTCTCTTGCTGGGATGCTACAGAGCTGGAGGGAATAGACATTAGTGTGGTACAGTAGCTGATTCTGACTACAGAAAGTTTCCCAGGTTTTCAGAAGTTTCTCACCTGCATGGTAATGACACATTTTGAGTAGGTGCTTATTAGTTATCAGATAAACAAATTACCACAAACTTAGTGGGTTAAAACAATGCACATTTATTATTTGATAGTTTCTGTAGATCAGGAGTTTAGGCACAATTTCACTGGGTCCTCTGCTTCAGGTTTTCTCTGAAACCCTGCAAGGCTGCAATCAAGTTATTATTGGCTAGGGCTGGGTTCTCACCTGAAGGCCCAACTAAGGAAGGATCTACTTCCAAGCTCACTTATATTGTTGGCAGAATTTTGGTTTCTCAAGGGTTGTTGGACTGAGGGGCTCCATTTACTAGGTGACTGTTAGCTGGAGGTTACCCTCAGTTCTTTGCCACATGAGCCTCTGCAACATGGCGGCTTTCTGCATCAAAGTGAACAAGGATGAGAGTCTGTTAGGAGGATGGAAGTTATAGTCTTATGCAGTCTAATCACAGAAGTGACATCTCATCACCTTTACCATATTCTATTGCTTAAAAGCAAACCACAGGGCCAGCTCACACTCAAGAGAGGGAGTTACACAGGGGCATGAATACCAGAAGGCAGGGGTCATGGAATCATTGAACAGATCTTAGAATCTGTCTGCCACAGTGCCCAGTTGAGAGGGAGGATGGGAAATCCTGGGTGTAAAAGAGGCTTTATTACAAAGTGGTTATGTGTGATGGGAGAATGGGAAATCCTGGGTGTAAAAGAGGCTTTATTACAAAGTGGTTATGTGTGATGGTGTTGAAGTCACAGATCTGGACTCCACTCTCAGCTCTGACAAAATAACCTCCCAGCTGGTATCCCTGTTTCTCCTTCTGTTCCCTCTCCAATCCATTCTACATACAGTCATCAGTTTGATGGATTGAAAATGCAAATTCTCACTCTTGACATTTCCTAACGAGTGGAGCTGGAGATCAGTGATTCAAAATAAACTTCCTTCTGTTCAATAAGGTGTGCTCCCTGCACTGACCACCAGGTAGTGCCGTTGCTCTTTCCTGGTTAACCAATTCCATACTTGGGGAGGGCTAGTGGCAATGTGAGGTGATTTTGGGTGTAGTACCTCAGAATAGGGAACTAGCACCTAGTGATTATATACAGTGATCACTTTTCATTCACCCATCCATCTATCCACGCACTAATTTCATAAGTATTAAGTGCTTTCTAGGTTGTGGAGAATAACACAGCTGAATAAGACAGACTCTTATTTCCAAGGAGCTCACAGTCTAGTAGGGGAAGAAGCAAGTCACCAATTACAATATGATATGAGAAGGACTGTGGTAGGGGTAAGCATGAAATAGCATGGAGCACTGGGGAGGGGTCCCTTACTCAGTTCAGAGAATTAGGGAAGACTTCTTGGAGGAGCTGACACCTGCTTGGGTGTTGAAAAACAAACAAGAGTTAGAACTTTTTGGAGGCTTCAACTGTGCGATCTATAGGATGGTTGTCTTCTTTTGGAGGTTAGGGTAGAGTTCATTTTTGGATGGAGTTTATTTGTGAATGAGTAAAGGGACATCCACTTAACAAGCCATATGAACCAAAGTAATCCTGGCCATCAGGAAGGGTGTAGTGAGGTATGTCCTGGCTAGAAAATTCTTATTTCTAACAGCTAGCAAATAGATGAAGAAGGAGAAAAGGCAATTCCAGATGAAAAATAACACATGAGGGACATTCACAAGAAGCAATATGACATTTGGGGAATTATAGCCAGTTTAAAGTGAAGAATATGGGCAGAAAGTTCTTTCGTATTTAGTGACAGGCATGCAGAAGATGAGGCTCACAGAAATTAAGTAACTTACCTAAGGTCACACAACTCATAAGCAATTGAGCCCATGGCATTAAAGCCTGTGTGCAAAATCCCAGCATAGAAGATAGGGTTCGTTTCTTCCCTTAAAGAGCTGGAGCTTGGGAGGATAGAGCTACTAAGGGCCTGGAGAAATTAGACTGCTATAGTCTCAAGCAGCATTTGACTCAGTGGACCACTCCCTACCTGAAAGCTTTTTTCTTCATTTTGATTTGGAGTGTTATCATCTCCTGCTTTTCTCCTGCTTTGCTTACTGCATGTTTTCTGCCTCCTGACCCTTCTCTTCCTGACACCTACACTCTGAGCCAAGGCCTTGGCCTTCTCTGCTTTCTCTCTACTAGGTGATCTAATCCAGTGCCAGGGCTTGCTTTATTTATTTATTTATTTTTAAAAAATTATTTACTATTATTATTTTTTACATTCTAAAATGTTGTGGAGCAGTTGGGATGGAGGAGTAGAGAGGAAGGGGTAGGGTGTAGGGTGGGAGGACAAGGAAGGGGGGAGGGGGCCGTGTTTGAGGCCCATGGCACCCCCCTCATTCTGGCAGAGGAGCCCAGGGGACTTTCCGTGGCAGCTTGATGGTTGTTGCTGGGCTGGATGCAGATGTTGGGGGGACATGGCTGAGGCCCTCGGCGCCCCCAGCCCAGTCCCAGGGCTCTGAATGCTGTCCATGTGCTGCTGACTCACACGCCCTGATCTGTCCCCGAGTTTCATGCACACTTGTTTGCCCAACAGCCTTACTTGACTCACAATCATTACAAGTTTAATGTATGTTGGGTTCACCCCAAAACCCTGTTTCACCCCCAGACTTCTCTATTTCCATCAGCACCTGTCTCATACTGTCATTGAGCTCCAAAACCTAAGTCATCCTTGATTCCATTTGTTCTCCCAACACCAATCAGCAAGTCTTCTCAGCTCTGCCTTCAAAATGCATCCCATATCTGACTGCTTTTCACCACCTCCACCCCTTCCTCCTTAGTCCAAGCCACACACATCTCTAGCTGGACTAATGCAGTAGCCTTCTAACTTGCCTCCCTGCTTCCATGCCTACCCTCCTTCAGTCTGTCTCCACAGAGACTATCAGCAGCATCTTTTAAAACTACATCAGATCACAACACCTCTATTTAAAAACCTCCCAGGAATTTCTCATTGCTCTTAAAATCCAGACTTCTTTCCCAGGTTCCATGTGAGCTGCCACTGTCAGTACTCACCATGCTACACTGACCTTGCTGTTTTTCCCATACACCACGCTCATTCCTGCTTCAGGGCCTTGACATTTGCTGTCCTATCTGCTTGGAACTTTGCATGGTTTGTGTCTTCTCATCATATAGGTCCCTGCTCAAATATTACTTCTCTGATTGCCCTATCAGAAATACCAACTACTCACATCAAAATAACTTCTGATCCTGCTTTGTTTTCCATAGCACTTACCAGGACCAGAAATGATTTATTTCTTGCCTCTCTTACTTGAGTGTAAGTTCTGTGAGGACAGAAACTGTGTCTGTCTTGTTTACTGCTGCATCTCTAGCACCTAAAAGAGTGCCTGGTACATAATAAATACTTTAATAATGAACAGACGAAGGGATGGACGTCTGTAGCTCTGCCCTTATATCCTGCAAAAGGTCTAAGTCCGTGCAGCTAATAGAAATATAATGTGAGCCACGTGTGTGATTTAAAATTTTATAGTAGCTACATTAAAAAACTAAAAAGAAACAGGTGAAATTAACTTTAATAATACATTTTATCTAACCCACTATATCCAAAAGTTAGCATTTCAACAAATAATACAAAAAAGTGATTATTTTACATTCATTTTTTAAAACTAATAATTCAAACTCTGGTATGTATTTTACACTTACAACACATCTTAATTCAGACTAGCCACATTTCAAGTGCTCAA